AAAACTCGCCAACGTCATGGGACTTCATATCCACTACACTCCCAAAGCTCTCCACTGAGGATCACAGAAGGGCTTGGGGTTTGGAGCAGTAGTCCACAAACTTCCTGAAATCATGTACAAAATCTCCTTTAAGAGGACACACGCATTTTCTTTCTTTTTTTTTTTTTTTTTATAAAGATGACCGGTAAGGGGATCTTAACCCTTGACTTGGTGTTGTCAGCACCACGCTCACCCAGTGAGCGAACTGGCCATCCCTATATGGGATCCGAACCCATGGCCTTGGTGTTATCAGCACCGCACTCTACTGAGTGAGCCACGGGCCGGCCCCGACACACGCATTTTCTAGAAAGAAAGTCCATAGCTTTTATCATATTTTCCCTGCCAAAAGTTAAGAGTCACTGCACCATAACAAACTCCCTTCCCAGAGTTGATGTCTCACCTCTGCAGTTCGCCCCTCAGGGCTTCAGTTTAATTCTGTTGAAATCATTTCTTCAATGAAAGTACATGGGAACCGACAAGGTGCCAGGCACACTTCAGGTCAAGTGCAAATACCCTCTGTCTGTTTTGCAGGAATTCTCTATTGAATCAGTGTTGTCAAAAGCTGAGAGGTAGTATTTGACAGAGGGAGAATTTCTAGGCCCAGTTGTCACCTCCTGGCTACCTACGCTCGGACAAGCCACCTAAACCCCAGGCCTGTTTCCTCATCTGTAAAACGGGGATGAGATCTAATAACAAAACCCAACCAACAAGGCAGCTGTGAGACCCAATTACAATCACATATGTGAAAATATGTTCTAAAAAGCACAGCAGACATGAGCTATGCAAGAATCCATCACTATTCTCCAGAACCTTCAGCTCAAAGGCCTTCAGGGCCTTCACTAAGGAAAAGACAGAATTAGCTACTACAAAGAGGAAGGAGGAATACTGGTAGTTTGAGAAGGCACCAAAGACACCTCTACTAACCACACAAACCCACCCTGGAGGAGATCAAAGTGGAGTAAATAGCCGGGGCACCGCTGGGCCCACAGTAAGAGACACCCCTGCAGTTGAGAGTGTGCACTCTACAAAAGACAGCACCCGGACAACAGTGTCTAAGATTCTCAGCACTCTGAAAAGCACTGCTCTGACCTGAGGGGAACAGTGAGGAAACCACAACAGGGTCCAGGGGCTCTTGTGATTTAAGACTAACCAATTTCTCAGTAAAGTCCACTCCAGATACTGAATCGCCCAACACTCCGTGTTACATATGGCCAACATCAGGGCTCTCGGGCTTGTAAACAACAAGCCAAGAAAACTGAAGTGGCTAGGTATGAGGGTAAACAGACTGTAACGCAAATAAAATCTCACCAATTCATAGAAAGTTTAAACCCGTGCCCCGCCGAGTCACCTGGTTCATTCCAGGCATGACAGCCTCGCCTTAACATGGGAGGGGACTTTGAGATCATCTGACCCCCAATGCAGCCACCAAAAAGGGGAGATGAATACCAGTATCACCATATCACTTTCCTAAAAGAGCCCGGACTAGGATTTTCCATGTAAGGTCCTTTCCAGCTCCACAGGAATCAGGGACTCTCTCCTCACCCCTACCTCCATGAACACTTACCACACACCAAAGACTGGGTCTGGTATCTGGGCTGCACAGAGTTCCCAAACTCTCAGAATCTATGAATCTCCTTGATAGAAAATGGACAGCCAGTTAACATACACTGTTATTTACACTCTATTTGATATTATAAAAAGGATTTAAGGCAACCAGTTAACCAGCACTAAAATCACCTTGTTCAAGAGCACCCACAAAAATTAGGTCACCGAAAGAACACCTTCCAACATTCCATTGGCCGTGACAGCCCAGGTTACTCAATGACTCTAAATTACCTATTTGGGGGCCGGTACGTGGCTCACTCGGGAGAGTGCGGTGCTGATAACACCAAGGCCCCAGGTTCGGATCCCATATAGGAATGGCCGGTTAGCTCACTGGGTGAGCATGGTGCTGACGACACCAAGTCAAGGGTTAAGATCCCCTTACCGGTCATCTTTTTGAAAAAATAAATAAATAAATAAATAAATTACCTATTTGTTCTTACCCTTACCTTAACCTCTTCATTCAATTAGCATGAGTGCCTACTACATGCAAGGTATTATGGGAGCTACAGAGATGAACAGCTCATGGTCTCCGCCATGGAAAAAAAGAATAAGCTGCAGCCAGAAAGACAAACCTAAAGGAGAAGTTAGCCAGAATAGCAAAGTAAACGGCAGTTGCTGTGGGAGGGCCTGGAGTCAGTCGTGACCTGTATGTGCACTCTAACACTTTTTAGCTGGGAATCAACCTCTCTGTGCCTCAGCCTCTTCATCTGTAAAATGGACTTAACAACATGCCTTCTCTCACAGGGTCACTGGCAGGATGAAACGAGGGAATGAACCTACGGCAGTTAGCACAGTGGCCTAGCACATGGAAAATTGCCAACGGAGGCCTTGTATGGGTGGCTTTTATAGACACTGAGATGAAGGAGCAATCTTAGTGTGCAAAAAACTATCACAAAAGTCCTCCAAGGAGAACTTAATGGATGGACAGGATTTGAAATGGATAAGAGAGGAACACATTCCAGGTAAGAGGAAGGGGGTCTAGCTACTGCAATGATTCTAGCAAGAAGGAATGAGTCTAACTACATGGTAGCTGTGGGAAGGGAGAGACCAGATGAAGCTGTGAGAACAAAGAAGGTTCCTTTTCTCCATCTCTTTAAGTATCTCTCAATTTGCCAGTTGCTTCTCTGCTGCCACCCCTCCAACACAGTGCCATCCTCAACTCCTTCATAATCCCCATCATCACTCCATCCCTCCTCCCACGTCACCTGACTCTCAAGCCACGTGACGCCAGGAGGATCCCAATACAAGGTTTGATGCTGGCTGTTTATTTCAATTGGTTAGAGTGTGGTGCAGATAACCTATGAATCCTGGGCTTCAATCAGCGTGATGTCATCTCTTAGTAGCATCATTTAAATGTCAATGCCAACCTGAGCAATCTCTATACAACTCTACTGCCATTCCTTAATAAATTATTGAAAGCAAACCCACATGGAAGCTTTCACTACCACCATACTGTTTTAATATGGTGGACCAAACCACACATTGCCCAAGAGGTCCTCGCATTATTTACTAGCACACCAAACTTGGTTAAAAATCATTAACTTGAAGGCTGGCTGGTTAGCTCAATTGGTTAGAACATGGTATTATAACACTAAGGTCAAGGTTTTGGATCCCCATACCACTCAGCCACCAAAAGAAAAAAAAAATCATTAACTTTTCTGAAAGGTACCCTGCAAAAGATAGCACAGATATCAATCATATCCTGTATCAAGAGATTGGCTTGAAAAAGGCACATCCCCCCACCAACTCTAAAATGAAACCATTTGCACAGTAGTAATCAAAGACTAGCCACACAGGGTTGGCCATCCATACGATTAAAAAAAAAAAAAAGCAAGATTTTTACCAGGTAGAAAAGGTCAAATTCACCAGCTATTTTTATATGGCTGTTATACTTCTTAGCCTCCTCCAAGCTCCAGTTGAAGAAACCCTATGATCATCACCAAAGGATTTTCCCAGAACCACATCACAAGTGAATCAGTCACCTCTGCCTTCTACTACTAACAGTTTACCAGGCCAGAAGTATCATTCGCCAGCTTCTCTTTTTCAAACCTGGAGAAAGCACAAGAACTGGCCAATTTCCTCAGCATTTCACTCCATGCGCATTAACTTTTCAGTCGTAACAAGATTTCATTACATTGCATATTCTCAAAACCTGCAAGCCTCCAGCCGAGTCTCTAACTTGCCCTGTCACAGGAGAAATTTTCACCATGAACATATTCATGATAATGGGATTTAACCACTTATGAAACTCAACCAGCTGGGTGCTGGTCTCCTAGGCCAGTTTTAAATTCTGCACACAGGGGACGCAGTTGGCCTTGCCAAGTGGGTAGGACCTGACGGTGTTCAAGAAACCAAGTCCCATGCCTAGAGCATGGGGACCACTCCTCTCCACCTCATGCAGAAGAGCAAGACCAGACAGATCACCTGCTACATGCACACACATACGCACACAAGCGCATGCATGCGCACACGCATACTTAACCATCTACAGGGCCAACGAGAAGCAAGAACTGGGAGGAGGCCACAGAAGGCGGCTGTGGAAAACCTTCAGACACTTCCCCAGACAGATCCTAACCTGTTTCATTGCATCATAAAATGACTCCTACCCAGGCCTGGAGTCCATTTTTTTTTTAAGGGGACTACTGTGGGAAATGGACACATGACAGACATCTCTTGTAATAATTTCATAAATCTTAAGAAACTCATCCAGAACTCATTCAGGTAGAAAGTGAATGACAGGGCAGAAGGCACTATAATCTGATGAAATTAACTATCTTCACAAGAATATTTTGGACAAAGAATTATGGATTAGCTGAGGACATCAGGATATACATTGCCTTTGTGGATACAACACGAGCCCCCACCAAATACACACACACCCCATAATTCAAAAGATTGCTCTCTGGAAAGTAGAGTAAGAGTCCATTTCACCAAGTTCTCACTCAACTACCTCTTCTACTTCAAAACACAAGTATCACATTTGCTTTTTTTTTTGGTCACTGTCATTTTTTTCTTAAACCAATACCAAAAAGGCTCAGTCTCCTCCCAGCTAACTGTCCACTCTTAACATACATCTCACATGGTTGTGAGCCCTGCACGACACCATTTAATCCCCCAGATAGGTATCTATTCTCTTTCGCATAATTACAACATTATGAAACACCGTTTACCACGTTAAAACACTGCTGGAGGTGGTTATGGTGGGGAGGATAGCAGGGAAGTGGGGAGGAACAGAAGGAAGAGCAAGGAGAAAATAAAGACCACTGCCGATTGGCTGTGTATTTGTTTTCAGTACTAAAGAAGTTAAAGCTATCCAACCCTGTAATTATTGCCAGGATTAAAAATTTGTTACTCACGTAATCATGAAAGGCTTTTGCTTCACTTGAATGTTCACAAGTGTCTCTCCTTTCAGGAGCTGCACAGTAAAGGTCCCAAAATACGCTGCAAGTTGAAAAAATAAAATCCGGTTACTAATTACCACTTGTGTACACAACAGCAAGGGTACCATGCATGGTGCTAACAGTACCAGGTCTCCCAAAGGATCCATCCCACCTTACCAGCTTTCATTGGGCAAACTCAGCCTAGAAAACAAAATGGATCCAACCTCTTGTGGCAAGCCAGCAATTGTAATGACAGTAATAGTTCTCATCTATTCAGCACCTACTATGTGTTGGATGCCTGGAAGCCTCACAGCCATAAAACTGCTCGCGACTACCATTTGTGTAAGGTAGGCAAATTTCTCTCCACTTTATGCATGTGGCAACTAGAGCTCCGAGAGGTTAGTACAACCCACCCATGGATGACCAGGTAGGACAGGTAGAAATCTGAATAAAAACCAATACTGTTTCATCTGCATTCCAAAAAACCCCCCAAAAACCAAAATGGCTACATATGATATAAAGGTTAAATTGTCAAAGTCAGGACACAACTATGATTCATATGCACAGCAATCGGAATGACTCTGGCAGTAAACAGAACCTCACAGGTTCTTAATCGCAGAGCCCTCACCCCCACTCCCACCCAGACCCTCCTCTAAGGAATTTTTAGGCAAAAACCACTCCTCCCCTGCCCACCAAAGAACACATCAATTAGCCAAAGGAGAGGTTACGGACGACCGAGCATCTTGCCCTTTCACATTGAAACAGAGAGCCCTCTCAGAGAGGTAACTGTCCAGCAAAGCGTGGGGAAGGGGAGAGTAGGCCTCGAGATGCCCACAAACCCCTCCACGATTTTGTATGGTCACTCCAACACTTGCATTAAATGAGAACAGATGTACAAGTCCTTTGTCAACCAGTAAAGCCCTATACAAACACAGGGGTAGTCACTGGTATTCACAAGGGGCCTTAGAAACTCTCCAAACCAGGAGCACAGGGCCCAGGGATGGAAGTGGCTTAAAGGGTAAGGTTGCCACCAGAACCAAGTACTGACTCCCAGTCCAGTGCTCCTGTCCCCATCACAGCAGCCAGCTCTACCAGTCATCAGACAAGCATCTCACTCCAGGTATGTGGTTAATGCAGCTTGCTCCTCATCCCATCAGCTCCACTGCTTTCACCCACTCCAGAAAGCCACAGTCATTTATTCAGTGTGAAAACACACAAGGCAACTTCTAACTAACAGGACCACAGCCACAGCCACTCAGAGCCACCACTGCCTGAGCCCAGCACAACAGACGCTACACTCCTGGGGCTGAGACAAGGATGGAGAAATGCCAGGGGATTCTAAACACACCAGGAAAATCGGGGACTTCTACCAGCTGCAGAGAGGGGATAGAGATCGTTCCTGTCTTCTAAAGCGGAAAACAATTTAACTCCTCCACACATTTAAGGTTTTTAAGACTACAAACTCCCCAGCCTTTTCTAAGTAACTTTCATTTATAAGCCTAAGTTTCTACATGATCCTCCATTACCAAACCCACCAACCCCATCCACACAATCCTCTCCAAAAACAACAACAGAAAACCTATCACCCACTCCTACAGGTGGAATCCTTATACCATATCAAGTGCCTCCAACGCCGGCAGTTCCGAGGTTGGCAGAAGTAATTAAAAACTCATTTTCTCTGCACAAGTTAGAACAGACACTTCATTCTCCTGCTATGCAGAGACTTGAAACAGTAACCTGAGTCGGCAGTCAGGTTACGTGCTAACATCCCAATAACACCAAAATATCAAAAGCCTCTCTGCTTTTTCTTTTCAAAAGGATGTCAAAGACTCCACCAATCGGTCCCACAAAAGGCCCAGGTAAGACACTCATGGCAATTGGCTCCCACTGACCCTAAGCCTCCCTCCTGCCTGCCACAACCCCAACACTGTGACCCGACCTGCAGAGGTCCCACACCCACAGGACCTGGAGGCCTGGTTGGAGGGTCACAAATAGAGACCCTAAAATAAAGCTTTGCAGTTTTAGGGATGCCTGGGAGGAGGAAGGAGGTAGGGGGGAGTTCTCAGAGGAAAAGAAAGGTCCAGTCAGTATGAAATCAGTATCTTTAAAGGAAGTGGCGCTCTTTCTTGCTTTTTCTCAGGGTGCTTGGAAAAGGCCCTACCAGATGTTCTCTCCTAAGGTAAGCTCATAGAAGAATAAGGGACAGGCCACTTGTAAAACAGACCTGGTATCCCCTCCACTCCATTCCGCCCCACCCCTCTCCTCTCTAATTAAAGCAGCATGTAGAATTGACAAAAATCCTTCAAGGTTTTTTCAAGCCCCCTGCCTAGTTCCCCGGAATGATATGGGAAAGTAAGGAGTTTCTACCCCTACACCACACAAGATTTACTTGGTTTTCAATATAAGGAAAAAATACAAGGAAAAAACTTTAGGTAGCAGCCTTTTTTGCCCTTTTCCTCCTTGGCCAGTCCTGCTCTGAGTGCTCAGAGGTGCCCTGCTCTGCGCAAAGCTGAGGGCTAAGAGGTGATGGGCCTGCTCTGGTCTCCTGTCTTTGTTCACTTGGACCCAGGACTCAAAACAAAACAAACACATGCACAAAACTATCACACAAACTTACCACCACCACGAATGCAAAAACCCAGGCGGTTCTCCCAATGTGATGTTTTTTTCCCATCGAATCTGGAAAGGAAAGAGCAGAGGCAGCTTAGAAGAGCAGAGAGGAGGGGGTGGGCTGGGGACTTCTCGGAGCCAAAAGGCTGTGAAGACCAACTAACAATAAATGCCAAAAGGTGATAAAAATTCAAAATGGTGGCCACAGTGGCTGCTCCTGAAAACAAAGGCTCTAAGAATAGTGGGGAGGAGGGGGTGTCAAGAAATTGGATGCTGGGGGGAGTCCCACTCACCTCTGATAAGAAGGTCTGTGCAGATTTCTGTGCTCCAACGTGCAGTAAATATTCATAGACGTATAAAGCTAACCTAGAGAGTAAGCAAGGGGCAGAGAGAGAAGGAAGGCGTCAGATCACACCGGGCGCTCGCTCCCGGACCTTGCCAACCGGCTTTGAGCCCTGTCTGCGCTGTCCCATTGTAACCACGACCAGAAGTGAGCAGCCAGCTCACTTCAGGCAGGGGCGCCGGGTGCGAACAGTCGGTGGTTGGTTACCAGAGAACGTTACCTCAAGTCAAGGGGTCTGGACAGCAGCCCCCAAACTTGAACTTCCAAGTGCCGTCGGGGCCAAACCCACCTAGGTCTCTCAAACTTGCAAGCCACCCGACGCCACAGCCACCCTCTATTTCCCGACACTCTCCTTCTTGTCACCCTCTCCCCAGCTTCGGGGGTCCGGGGAGACTCAGCCCTGGACTCTGGGTGCTCGGCACGCTCTGGAGAGGACAGCAAAGCGCCACCCTCACCACCTCCCTCCCCAAACTGTCCCCCAAGCCTAGAGCCAAGCCGGCGCCACAGTCCCTGCCTAGCCCGGCGCCCCGGAGGGCACGGGACGGGCGCCCAGGCCGAGGGCAGGGAACGGAGAGCACTCCCGCACGAACAAAGCCCCCGGCACGCACTCCTCACGCCGCGGGCGGACAAAAGGAGCTTTCGGGGCTGCAGAAGCCACGCGCCCCCTGCCCGTGCCCGGTGGGCAAAGTGCGGCCACAGCGGCGAGCGCCCCGACTGGAGCGAGCGCCTAGGCTCGCTCTCGGGACATCGCCCATCCCTCACCGCGGGCCCCCGTGCCCGGCCCGCCCCGCGGCCACCAAGTGCCCCCTTCCCGGCGGCTCCCCCGCCGCCCCTTCCCCGATGCCCTAACCTCTGCTGCCTCCCAACAATGGGCTCTCCCACGCCGCCCTCCGCGGCCTCGGGGAAGGGGCCAAGCAGGCGGCGCGGGGCCCCGGGGGCCCGGGGGCGCAATAGTCCCCGGCCCCCGTCCGCCCACCTGCCTCCCCCCGCCCGCCCGCAGCCCGACGGTGGCGCGGCCAC